AGAACATCCTGGCTGGAGGCCACTTTATGTCTGTTTCAGGTTGATTTTGTTTTAAGATAGAGAGGAAAATGTACCTCATTATATATTGGTGTTTCTTCCAATATGTATGAAAATTAAGAACAAGTCAAGAAATGCAGAATTTCTTCAGTCAGGTGCTACAGACTTCCCCAGCTGGGAGTACAGCCAGGGTTCAACATAGCTGGAGCATCCCTGTGTCAAGGTCATGAAGATAAGACGCATTGATCAATTTGCTGTTAGTATGTACTATTATAAGGTGTTTCTGGAGCTGATTTTTATGTTAGTCATGCAATTCTGCTACTGCAGTTGTAATTCTACCTTGTAAGCATCAGAGTCTAAACCTGGGATGGTGGAAGCAATTTTTGCTTCTGAGATTTGTTCAGCCATTACCTTTTGCTGTGTGTTGCAAGTTCTCACCTTCCTCACTTCAGTCACAATCCCGGATTGCAAGCTGGTGTGCTTAAGTGTTTTATTGTAATAGTTTTATTTAAGGCTGTTACTATCTTCTCAGTGTTTCGTTGAGAAGGAAATTGTGTTTATCATTCAGGAACTGTGGCCATAACCAGGAGATCTGCATTCATTTCATGGTGTTTCTCCAGATTCTTTACCTTGGGCCTCAAACACGCAGGGTCTGAGTGTCTTGGGTTAAAGCCAGTTGGAGGTTGGTATGATCAGTATCATGGACTGTGGAGGACAGTATGGGGTTTATCTTCTCTAATCTATTATCTCTTCTTATCTCTTGCTTCATTTATAAAATATGGACTGTGTTGTAAAAGTTCCTTTCAGTGCAGCTTTAGGGTTGTTTGAGCAGCTTTGGTCCCCACCATCTTCTGTTGAAACCTTCATACCTTCTGGGCTTGATCCAAAATCTGATCAGGACAGGTAAGGCCAAACTCAGGCTTTAGGGAGAGTTTATGCTATGCAAGAAGATGGCAAAAATATCCTCAGATTGCCTCAGAGCTAACCAGCAGCTGTAGTTGGACATCATGCCCCACTGTGCTTGCAGCATAACCAGGCTCCCAGGCTGAGGGTATGACATTTATCCTGTGCAACTCTCACCATCTTTTCTTTTTCGGCTCCAAGGGCCAGGAATGCAGATTTTAATCCCACACCACATTTTGTATCAGTGGGTTCCTCTTGTCTGATGCTGCCTTCTGACAGAAATAGCTCCTGCATCCATTTCAGCTGTTTCTGCAGAGCAGCCTACCCAGCAGGGAGGACTCTCAGACAGGCTGGTGTGTGTGGAGAGCCCACAGCACTCATCTGAAGCAAGATTGTCCACTTCAGTGCCGTGTACTACAATGGCACCCACTTCCCTGCCAAGCTGCCAAATGGTCTTTACCATGGTGGCCTCCATCCCTAGACCTTTGGTAGAGTCTGCACATCAGGACAGTATTCCAGGAGGCAAGAGGCAGCCTGAGTTGCTGTGCCCTGTAATGGCAGCGAGAAGATCAATGCGTATTGTTAGTGTGTGTGTTACAGCCATTATCTCATCTGTCTAGCCTTTAGTAAATACCCTGTGTGTTACACAGTCACTTGGCCTCCTGGCTTTACAGAATCCCCCAGCTGCCCAGCAAACCCCACAGCTGCCAGCTGGGAGTGGCCGGCAGCTGTCCATGAGTACATCTGGATTTTGTTTTTCAAAGGTTAATTCCACCCCACACCCCCAAACTCAGGACAGGGAGACGCCAAGCAAAGGGGAAGGAGGCAGTGGACAGAGAGCTCAGCCTTGTCTCATTGGGCTGATACATGCACTCCCTCTGCCCCACCTGATCTGCTGATGCAGAAATCAAATTGTCATTGGCAACAGCCCATGTTGGCCTGAAAACCACAGATTAGTTTCTGAGAAAGCCTGACGTAACTTTTCATTCGCATTACCAAGTCTAGAGGGAAGACACCCCCCATAACGCCTCTTCCCTCCCCTTGGTTCAAGGATTTCAGTTTCCATGTAGTAGGTGGTAATGGTGGATGTGATACACGTGCTTGAATGGACATGTTCATATGTGAGCCAGGGAAGAGCTGGTCTCCTCTCCAGGATGCTTCATCCTCATTTCTCTGTTAGATTGTGCATATGCATAGCACTGACTTTTCTGAGACACTGAAACAATGGGAGATGTAAAACCTCCCTCAGCTTGCATTTCAGCCCATGTGTACATTGGTTGCCACTGAATATTGCATCAGAAAAGTATTCAATGATAGGGAAATAAAGAATACCCTTTCTCTGATATGAGCAATGTATTCTCAAGAGATCCAATGTGCTACCTTTGCTTAAGCTAAACAGTGTCGTGTTATCAAAGGCTGAATACTGATTTTTGCCAAACTGGTTTCAGTCCAGCCTTTCTCTATTGGCTTCAGGGAATGCAATCTGGATTTGTCCCATTGACTGAGAGTTTCAAAGCAGCGATGGCTTCACACTTCCAAAGCTGTTACATTTAATCTCATCAATATCAGCTGAACACACAAGCGACGTAGGAACATGAAGAAACAGGGAAAGCCTGCCCTGAAAGCCCAGCAAGACCTACCCTTATCAGACCAGGACATATAAATCACTTTCTTTTCCAGCTCATTTAACCTTGGCTAGTGGCTTTATGCCTCAGTTTGCTCCATTTCCAAAAATGTGTCCAGTTCCTCTCTTGATGCATGGCTCTTTTCTATTGCTGACTCTGTCAACAGGGTAATATCTCAGCCCCTCCTAATTGTGTAATTCTGCCTCACTTAAAATATACTATTCCCCTTTTGCTTTCAAATTAGTTATCTCAGAACTGCCACTGGCACTGTGAGGTCCCTTTAGCTTTCTGGTCTCTGTGTGTCTTTCCTAGCAGAACTCTGACTTTTTACTAATTTATATCTCTTTCACACTCCCCAGCATCACATATGCAGCTGCTGTTAAAGTCCACAAGAAACAAATGCAAGAGAGAAGGAGAGACCCAGCTGCTCTTTTATGTGAAAAACTCAGAGCTCAGTTCAGTGAGTGGTGCCAGCACCAAAGGAAGCTGCAGAGATGACTATGGCTCAGCCGCACAGGTTGGTGCATGCTGTGGGTGTGAGCCACCCATGGGCTCCTGCAGCTCATACACCTGCTGTGGTGGAGGTTTGGGACTGAAATGTGGCAGAAGCTTTTACACTGCTGTCACATTCTTCCCAGCTCTGAGCGGGAGCTCAAAAGTGTCCAAACTACATTTTATGGAAGCAGCAGGAGGGTGAGCAACGGAGAAAAGGGACTTCTGAGGCAGGCTGATGGCATTGACACTAACAACAGCTCCTTCGAGCTAGGCTGGTCTAGGGGTATGAATGTTTCACTATAAACTCTTAAAGAGAATAATTACCATTAAACCAGCCAGATTGTTGAAAATTAAATCCATGTGCTATGTATAGTGATGGTACCTCCAGAAGGAGATAACCTACGTCATGCTGAGCCTCAGGTCTGTTGAGAGTGGGACATGATGCTGCTGTATAGTCTCTGCATGTGCATGGGGGAGGGCAGAGCAATGCATTCCTCCTGGTGTTTTTCCTTGCATAGGAAGTGTGAGAAGATGCAATGATTAGTGCTAATGTGTTTTAAATGGAGCCCAATGTACCTTAGGTGATCAGTGCACATATTCCAGCACAGTGGGCTGTGTGGAGTAGATGGCATCATGTAGAGTGCAATTATGCAGATCTGTAGTGTTTCCATAATGTATTGCTGTTCTAGAAGACATTGTATAAATCTCTGGGTTTGCTGAAAGAATGTCCATTTTTGCTGTCACTGCCAGCTTGCCAGGCTGTTCTCTTGTCTGCTCAAAGCTTGTTAGGGCTCTGGAGTGCTGTGCATGGAAATCTCTTGGTGAGATGTGTGTTGTGAATTACAGCCCTGACAACTATCAGAGGGGCCATGCTGAGGTATAGCATTAATATTTATATGGGAACAGATGTCTTGGCTATTAGCAAACCTTGTTGTATTAGATGTTGGGGGAAAAAGCTGGTTCTTGCCCCTAGGAACTCACAGTCTCTATAATGACTACTAAAAATATTTAATATAATTTTAAAACCATGAATGATTTAAAGGAATAGGTAGAATGAAAGTGTGGGTGGAGGGGAATGCTGTAATAACATTTTTCACAGAATCACAGAATGGTTGAGGCTGGAGGAAACCACTGGAGTTCATCTAGTCCAACCTCCCTGCTTAGGCAATGTCACCTACAGCACATTGATCAGGGCTGCGTCCAGCTGGCTCTTGCATATCTCTGGGGAAGGAGACTCCAATACTCAAGTCACCCTCACAGTAAAGAAGTTCTTCTTTGTGTTCAGGTTGAGCTTCCCGCGTTTTAGTTTGTGCCTGTTGCCTCTCATCCTATCTCCTGGCACCACCAGGAAGGGTCTGACCTCAACCTCTCGACACCCTCCTTTCAGATACATATTGTTCAGATCCCCCCAAGCCTTCTCTTCTTCAAGCTGAATAGGCCCAGCTCCCTCAGCCTTTACTCACAAGTGAGATGCTGCAGACCCTTAATCATTGTAGAAGCCCTTCAATGGACTTACTCCGGGAACTCCATGTCTCCCTTGTGCTGGGGTGCCAGAACTGAGTGAAACATTTCCAGCCAGTGGCTGATTTACATATTTGCATTAGCTGGGTTTTAAGTATTCTTTTTTATTCCAACATTTTACACAGATAAATTTTAGCTGTGAAATAATCTTTTTTTGTTTATATGGTGATACAGAGGTTAAGTAAGAATCCTTAAAACATTTTCCTGCTCTGCAGAGGCACAGGGATGTAGCAACACCATATTTAAAAATATTCATTCCCCTTCCTGGCAATATTTCTAATTCCAGTGGAGCGTGACAACATCTTCTGCTTTGATAATGTCATGCACGAGTGTGCCTGCTGTTAGTTGCAGGACAATGACTTCACACCAGACACAAATGGGCAAGAACTGGCAAAGCCAAAATAAAACTCTGTTTATGTTGATAATAGCTTTCCTCTATGCTTTGCGTGCTCCTTCTAGTGGAAGAGCTCACTCCAGCCCCGGACCAGTTTGCAGCTGATCATCTGCTTGGGATGGTTTTGAAGTCATGATATACTGCAGGGTTAGAATACAAACGGATTCTCCCAGTGCCATTTGCAGAGGTGAGCAATTCCTGGCTTGGCAGAAGTTTTAGGCTCCAGAAGTGCTGTGATGGCTCCTGTGCTGAGTCCTTGTGATGAGTATCCAAGGGTTAAGCTACGCATTTTTCTACATGCTGTCTTTTCTTTGTGTGTGCAGCAAGATGAAGCTTGCCTCACTATTTGCTTTTCTAAATTAAGGTATCTTATGGCAGGACACCACTCAGGAGCTCACAAGAACACCACTTGAAATGATACGCACCTACTGGCTGTGAGAAGCCACAGAGTGATGGGCGTTAAACATGCTCCCTGCAGATATGTGGAAGTGGTCTTTACACCTCAGTAGCAGCACAGGGGAATATGGAGGTGCTTACAAGAATTCTGCCCAGAGTTTATCAGTCTATGAGCAATAGACTTCAACTTCAGAGTCCAGACAAAAAATTAACTTTTTATAATGAGTATCCCTGGAGCATGTGGATGGGGAAAAAATTGCCCAGAGCTCATGAGACTCAATCCTTCACTCTGATTACTGGTGAAGAAAGTAAGAAAAATCATATCACCTTCCCTGACCTCCTCCCTTTCCACTGGGAATGAGGGGTGAGAGGAATAACAGCCTCCCTTTGATTCACCGGATTAGTCCATCTTCACCAGGAGATGGAAAGTGCTGTTCCAAAGCTTGTAGCCCTAGTAAGGAAACTTGGTATATTTTCCCCAGGCAGAGCAGCAGTGGGCTCTGCATGTCAAGGTTGATGACAATCCAACAGAAAGCATAGAGAGCAGAGGCTTGACATTGCCATGGGTGCAAGAGCTGTTCTTTGAACCTGCTGCGCTGATGGGAACAGCTTTCTTGGAGAGGTGATTCATCACTGGGGAACTCCAGGATGAAGTATGGACACCGCCTTCCCAAAAGGGACAGCTGTGATCTCTTATACAGGCTCCTCCCCAACTGTCCTAGCTCTGAGAATGACTTGCTTCTTCTGGGAATGAGCCACGTGGGGCAGACCTCGGGAACTCATCTTCTCACTGTCAGTTCTGAATTAGTAAGACTGGGCCACTACATGTCGTGTACCCTCAGAACAGGGTCTTTGCCAATAAGGGCTTGCAGACAGTTTAATGGGTCTTTCTCAGGAGCCAAAAAGAAGGATTGCATGGGGATTTCTGGAAAAAGACTGCAGCTTTTGTCTTTTTCGCGCTTTGCAGAGATCAATGTACATTTAATCCACCTCACTCAGGAGTGTTACACACTTTGCAGCCTAACCTTGGTTACATAAGGTGACAGCATCAGAAAATTGCTCCACCACTTTTCATCAACAGTTCAGCTACAAATAAGCCAAAATTAATACTACTACTACTAATAATAATGTTGGGGAAATTCAAATAATCCACAGAGGTTTTTGGGGAGTATGGATGAACCTCAGAGAGGGGTACCAGCCCTGAACAGAGAACTGCAAAATGAGGGTCAAAAAGAACTGGTGATGGTGAGGAAACTTGAGACACTACGTGTATCCTGGAACCAAAAAGTTTTGAGAGTCTGTAGCATGGAAGAGTTAACTTTCAAATGATGGACAGTCCCAGTAGGTGACCTTGAGCTTTTGGCATCTTCTTCATCAGCTGTGGTGAAATTTGAAGAAAGGAGGAAAATTCAGGGTGGAAAATTCAGATGAATGCCTTGGAGAGTCATAGATCCAGCATGAAGAGGGTGAAGAGTATCTGGAGGGCATATAAATAAGAGATCAGAAAGAATAAGTCTTGAGAGAGCACAAGCATTAGGGGAAGCACAAGGACTGTTGAAGGATACAACCCAGGGCTTCTTACAGGGCTCTAAGTACATAAAAACATACTTGGCTCCAGAAATTTCTAATCTGGAGATGGCTGGCGGCTGGAAGAGCACTCAGGGGAAATATTGTATGTGCTCACCCTGCGCTCATACTTTTCCCCAGGCATTTTGCTTTTGCCCACTGTTGGAGACAGGAGCTAGAAAGACCTTTGGCCTGGCCCAGTGTCACTGCTCCTCTGTTCTTGTGCTCGTGTTGTGAAAGACTTGGAGCCCTTGCGGTCTTGCGCTCTTTAGCACAAGCTGCGGGACAAACCGCGCTTATCATCGGTCATTGCTGAGTCAGGCACAGAAGTGATCTTGCTGACATTCCTCACCGCTTTGAGCACGACATGCTGAACATATTGGGAGGGATGACTCTGTGTTTCCCAAAAACAGCTGGGCTCTTCCCCAGGACGACTCTTATGTAGGTACAGCAAACTGCTGCAAATTCCGGCGGCAGGGCTGCTCCAGCTCCAGGCTATGTAAGGGTGGCAGCAGCAGCTTTCCTACAACAGCTTCCTGTCGCTGTTTTGGTTTAGCGGCCAGGCTGTTGAGTTGCTGGGGCTGCCTGAGGAGCCTCTCCTGGGGCATTCCTCTCACCTCCGGCCTACTGTGGCCCACCAGCTTCCATGCTTGGGGCTGTTGCTCACAATGTGCTTGGGAAGCTGCATTTGTCCCCTGAGGGGGTGTAGGGGTTGGTGGCTCTGTCTCATCAGTGGGTGACAGGACAGCTGCCTTAGCCTCCTTTCTGGACCTTTTGGCTGCCTCACTACTCCCTCACTTCTTCGTCTTGATATTCCCAACTCTCTTGAGGTTGTCATCATCTCCCATGAGTAGTGCTGTCCTTTTTTGTCTATCAGAGCTGTCACTACCAGGAGGGGTATCCATTTTTCCAAGAATACTGTGGCACTTTAAAAAATGAGTATCTCCCAAGGAGGTGAAGATATTGTTATAATATCCTGATAGATGCACTCACCTTCTTTTTCCTTTCTCTGCTTTTCTTTGTTTATTCATTCACATGGTAAGAACGACAATATTTCTCTTTACTAACAGGTAGGAAGAAAGGGAATCTGCTTCTGCAATAAATTGGAGGACAATGAGGATCAGAGCAATGTTTATACACATACACAGTCATTTCTTGCTCAGTGTATGTATACATATGCACTTCAGCTATGTGTGTCAACAGTACATTTTTTCTAAGGTAAATGTTTTTCTCCACAAAGCCCAAATCCCACTTAGGGGAGAAACAGCCTTGCCAATAACTGGATTCAATTTAGAAGAAACTAGGTGGAAATAATGATGAGGAAATGAGAAAAATAAGCTTTTGATGAAATAATTAATGACTAGTTGTGACACAATCTCACAGCAACAATCCAAGGCTCAGGGAGATCAGAGGAGACCATCTACTGCCAAACAATGCTTGCCATGCAAAGCCAAGTAGCCTCCTGTTTGCAATTTAAAATCATAACCATACACATGAACTGCAGTTAGGGGCGGTTTGTTTGTTTTAAGTTCTCTCCTAACAAAGATACAGCACCCTCTTCACGTTGCATCTGAAAGGGGAATGGACCAGCGGGTTCCAAGCAGTTATGTAGCGTGTAAGACAGGTCCAGCTTTACAGCAGCTAAAGCCAGGAAATGAATGCTTCAACATGTGTGAATTATTCTACTGCCACCAAACTGAGCAGAGCTCTGCTTCTCACAGATCTGGTCCAAAAAACTGAATGCAGTGACTCTTAGCTGGGAATAGCTGGCAAATCTGAAGAGTCTACAAAAGGTGCAATGGAAAAGCAAAGCTTTTGTCAGCAGGCTTGTGTTTGCTGTCACCAAGTCCTCACCCCCATCAGCCATGTTTTTATGAACCCAAAAGTGGACAATGTTGAAAGACTCAAATTGAGCCTTCTGCTAAAATATTCTGGCCTTGGAGCTGACATTCCTGATGTTCACCAAGCAGAGGTGTGGATGGACCTGTGACAGTGGGTTGGTTCAGCTCAGGAGTCCCATTTGAAGGCAAATTCACCATCATGTCCACTCCCTCATTTCTGCTTGCACTGCAGCCTGGTGGCAGTTGTGCAAACTGGATCACTCTGCCTGAAAGCAAATGGGCAGAGATGCTCCAGAACTGCAACAGATGGGCTCTGACTGCCAGTGGGATTGTTCAGTCCATACAGCCAGGATACAGCTAGTCTGAAACCCTTGAAATCACTGCTAGACAGGCATAAGGATGGCCCCACCGTGTTTTTGCAAGGCATTAACTGTAAATGCTAGCAGAGCCACTGTGCTGCACTCTGCTCCTGAGTCAAAAACAGGCTGATTGCAGAGGTGCAGAGCCGCTGTCTCTCTGCTCAGCTCTGAGGCTAGCTCTTTCCACTGGCCTGCTCTGTGCATCCACCATCCCAAGCAGATTAGTGAGGGAAGGCATGATGGGACACAGTCCACTCCTAATCGCTTCCAGAAGTCCTGTTTCTAGCTTGGTCAAGGCACTGCTGAGTCATTTTCATGCAGAATGAGTTATGGCTGTGTTTAAAACCTCTTTATTACCCTTCAGTAATCCAGAGCTCAATCTTGCACTTTTAATGTTCCTCTTCTAAAGGGCAGATTTATATGTGAAACACTTTACACTTTGGTTTCCTCCTAAATAATAACTAACGTTGCTCTTCTGAGTGCTTTATGACATTAGCTAACTAGTCCTGACAACACCCTGGGTTTCCATATGCACAGCAGAAAGCTTGGATGAGATCCTTAAGTCTGGTGTTTTTAATTCTCCTGATTTTATTGTGAGTCTAGGGTGGGCTTTTTCTTCAAGCCTCTGCTCCTGGAGGCACACAATCACATGACTCTCTCACTTTTCTTTTTATTTTAACAGTAAATTTCTAATTCTTCAGTTTGCAGGAGAAAGCCTGACAATGTCATCCAAATGCACTGCAAGGCTCAGAAAACAGATGCCAAGCAACAGAAGCCAAACTGTGCAGCCATTTTTAAATCTCAGAAGTTTTAAGGCAATCTAAATATTCTCAGGGCCTTCACCCATGTTTTCTGAGTGTGGAGGGGCTTGGCAGTAAATAAAGCTTCACATTACAAAGAGGCTAAAGTAAATAAAGTCTTCAGGGATGCTAATATTCTCCATCTCCCCTTTCTTGCTTGTTTCTGATTCTCGTCCTGCACATGCTTTGCTTTCCACATTGTGAGTAGTCACGTTCCTCACAGTGGTAAAGAAAGCACACAAACAAATCTTTGTTGGAAGACAGCAAATTTTAAATCAAATCAAAATTTTACAAGTAAGATCAAGGTTTTAAACTCTTCTATCTGTTACTGTGTGCCTGTAGAGTGCGATGTGCAGCAGGCCAGGGCATACAATTTGTGACTGGCAAGGCTGTTGTAACACCAACCATTGCTGCTGCTGCTGCTACTACTAGTAATAAAATAGAACCATTAATTGCAAAGTAGAATTTGTAATTGTGATCATCTGTTTAGAAAGGTGCAAGAAAGCATGCAGTAAGCTTTTCTTGCATTATGGCACTGCACACCAGCTATTTCCACATTGTAAAAGGAGCTGGACAACTAAAAGTGATCAACATATTGATTTTGTGTCAAAGATTCTGTGTTTCCTCAACCTCCTTATTGGTTTTGTACTGACTTATTTAATTTCTCCCATTACTTCTTTCTGACGCAGTCACTGATAAGAGACTGTAGGTGGCTGACCATGGGACAGGTTTGTCTCAATAGGTTTTCAGTGCTGTATAATACTTGCTGCTCTAAAAGTGCTATTCCTGTTTCATTTATACATTCTGCCTGGGAATCTAATACTATTTTAATTACTCTATGCATGTGTTTATTCTTTAGCTATTAGAAAATCTCTGTTAGACTTTAAAGTCCAGATCTTCCCTGAAGAAAATATTTCCCAGCCTGCTAGATCTTAGTGATAAAAGATCCTCTTGATATTTATTATAAAGCATACTTTTCTTTATTTTCTCTTATGGCTTCCAGACAAATATTTCTTTGGCTCCCTGCGCAAATCCCTTGTCCCTCTGAGTTGCCTCCCTCTCACTTCTGCCTAGCTGCACAGCAGCTTCCCCTCCTTTAAGCATTTTAATCATGCTTGCTGCTTTTTAAACCATTCTCCCTGTTTGCTCACATGTTTACATGCTGAGTAGAAAAAAAACAGCATTCCAGGTAGAATCAAAAGAAACAGTGGTTTCCATATTGCTGTGCAAAGTTAATGTATTACCGCACCTTCACACGTCATGCTGCCAGCAGAAGCCACAGAGGAGCTCTCCGTGCCAGCCACATGGAGCTCTGCCATAATCGGGCTGTTGTAAGAGCTGATGGGAGGGCCAATTGCTTGTTTCAAGTGTTGACCACAAACTCATTTAGACAGGTTTTGTCTAGGAATCCAGGGATTCCTGTATTGCAATCTTCCTGGGACCAATTCTTTGCCCATTTCCCTTAGAATAAATCCGCGTGAGCAGGGGTGTTTTAACTTTGCAAATCTTTATTTTTGTTTCATTTTGGAGTGTTCAAAGCCAGACAACCCTGGTTTGCTCTTTGACAAGAGCATATGTAAAACCTGTTTTACAAAACCAACACAGAGTGCTTCTGACAGTCTTCTTCAGAAATACTAACAGAGAGCAAAAATGTAAGAGAGCAACCACAGCAAAAGGGTACTTTTCCAAACACAGGAACAGAGGCATCCTGGAAAGAAAAGAGCCTTAGTATGTGAGTAAAAAAATTCTGAATGACTATAAAGTATCTGTACTGAAATTTTATACTGAGGAAAATAACCAACACTCCAGCTGATGTACTTGCTGCTATCAAACAAGTTAATTACTGTCAAGCACAATGAGAAGTACCAAGGGACCCTTCCCAGCAGGGAGGTGATTCCCTGATAGACCCTTTCCTCTCCACTTCCAACAGTAACAGCCCCCCTTTCAAGAGGGAAGGAGCTGCCATTGAGCTGACCTGTGGTGGTGGTGTGGCTATGTGGCACTGGTGTGACTTGGCAGTGCCTTTGCAAAGTCAGCTTCTGAGCAGGATGCAGTCTAACATGTTTCTTGGACAGCAAGAGGCAAGGAGGGAGTAAATTTATATAGGGATTTTTTCACATTAAATTAGGTAACTATAATCAGATGAGCGTATTTTTCCCATGCATTCTAACATAGAAGGAAAAATGGGATATTAAATCAAAAGGCTGTGGTTACATCATATGAGCTGATAAATTTATGAGCTGATAGGTACATGTTGGTAGGCCTCAGACGACTAATTGCTCATTTTCATATTTGTATGTTCAGTAAGGCATATGCAGACTGAAAGACTCGTGGATGGAAATACTCTTCTCCAGACCCAGACAAGGATTCAGTCTTTCAAGAAGAGAATACAAAGGGGAAGGCACAGCTGGACATGGAGCTGGTGTTTTGCTGCCTCTGTTTTAGCAGCTTCCTAAATTTAGGCCTCGGTTGCCTGTATAAAATGGGGGACAACGGCACGTCTGTAGCTTTTACAGGGTTTGTATAACTACATTAAGGACTATGAGATGCATAGGCAGTCTAGTAGTGGTTGGTATATACAAGGTAAACAGCCAACTCAATGGGGTAATCATTCCAGAAAATAACCTGCTGAATGGGAAATGGATACATGCAGTACTGATTCAACTGGCCGAGCTCCTCTGTGTCATTCCTTGATGGATTTACCATGCAATTGTGGTTTGTTTTCCCTTCTCCAGTCTTTCAGAAAGTTATTCCTGTTACGATGATTGAGCACACACCTTACAATACAGCAACTCAAGACAGTGGATTGAAAGATTTATGTCGCTGATTCTGCAACAAATGCGTCAAGTGCCAAATATGCTTCCAATAACTTCCTGTGTTATGCTGACATAGTTGGTCAAGGGTATCTTAATGAAAGACAAGGACATCTCAGAGTCATACCTGGGCATGAGTTTGATCCACTGTGTTTCAAGTACTCGTATTTACTGCAGGGGCAGTTTGTTTCACTTGCAGCCTTACTCCTCCAACAACTGTTGAAGCTGCTTAAACAAGCAGCACGCCAGTATTTGGACATTGACCGGCTTTTTACTTGTTTGTTTAGTGAAACTGCTGCATAACTGACCCAGCAGAGTCAGGAGTTATAAACAAACTTTGACTGCAGAGTGTGTGTTTAGTTCAGCTTTCACCTTGACACAAAGCCTTTGCTTTCTGGAGGAGAGGAGACATTCTCCATAGTACATCAGCAGAGTGCATACCAACTCCCCTCCAGTAAAACACCATTAGAAAAAGCCAGAAAAAAAGCCCACCCAAAACCATGGTATGCAGGGCTGTTTTTTTTAATAGTGTGTGATTAACTTACAATCTATTTTTATGTTAATTCATCTCAGCATTAGGCTTCTTCATACCCCTGTGATGTATAAAGCTACTGTGAACAGATTGGCCTATGATCTCATTTACGTCACTGTAAATCCAAAGTAACTCACTTGAAAACTGCACTTACAGCAGGTCTTCATCAGTGTCCCTAATAATTAATTTGTCCTTTACACCTGAAAGTGAAAGTCATCTTATTTGTAAGGTGTTTTTGAGGTGGAATTATTTGCTAAGGCTGTAAATATTTAAATCCACCTAAATATTCTAGAATATAAACTCAGTTCTATTAATATTTTAATCTGAACACACAACACCTATCTTTGAAAATGTAATATACATTTTATAATCTCCAGTTTAAACTATTAAAAGCAAGCCAGCTGAAGTTGGACAAGAAAATAGTTATGCTACCAATTCTGCGGCAAATAAGTGACAACTATAACTGAAAGCCCCATCAACTGTACAAAGTTAGCAGTGCCCTTCAGAAATAAGTCTTTTGGGAACTTCTAGAGGCTTCTTGTGACTTAGAGGCGCTTTCAGAAGTGAGGTGTCTGCTTGGGCAAATAGACCTTTAAAATCTTCAAAACTATATGTTTGCACTAATAAATTCATTCAGAGGCATTTTTCCTAAAGGGCTTCCCTGCAGGGGAGCTGTTACACATGTTCTAGCCTGAAACTGAAGCTGGCCAGGGAATGGAAATTGTGTTTCACAGACGATTTTGAGATTTTGAAATTTGTTTTCCTTCCAATTCAGAACAAAACCTCAAAATGTTGAAATTCTCCACAAAGGAAAATTCCACAAAAAAATAAATAGTTTTGGCTTATTTAGATCATTACAACTATTAAAAATGCATATACTATACAAAATCAAAAATCTGACTGTTTTGTTCCAAAAAATTGCTCGCATTTTTTCCTCATAAAAACCCAAACCTTAGTACCTTGGTAAAAATAATAGTTTCACAAAGCTTTTTGATTGTGACAGAATGACATTTTTGAAGGAAAGCTACTCCATTAAATAATATTCCATCTGAAGTTTATTAGAGTTTCTACTGCTGTGTTATCCAGACGTTTTGCTGTCATGCAAAAACTCTACAAATAGTCTAGCACCAGAACCATGCTCTATAATGCTGAAGCTCATGGGCTTCCTATTGCATGTTTGTGCCATGGCAAAACCTAGAGGTCCACACAGATGTCTCTTTTTCTCTGGTAAGGTGTGAGCAGGAAGAAAAGACCATTCTTTCTGATGAAACCTCTCAAGGTGTGAGAGAACTGGCGTCAAGTTGCTCTTGCTGCCACCAACCCCCCCTACACAAGAAATCATCTCCCTGGCAGGGGAGTAAGCAATTAAACCAGCCATCAGCATCGACACTGGCTACTTCTATTAAAAAGAAATGACCCACACAAGGAAATGTGCTCCTTCTCTGTCACTAATATGGCAAAGCCCATGGTGAGCAGACTCCGGGACACTTTAACAAATAACAATGTCAACAGCCTGTATCCCAGAGCTCAAAGGGACAGTGGTGATGTGCTTTCAATGCCTCTGCTGAATTCTGGAAGACTTGTACTGTTTCAAGGTTATCTTGCCTTACTTTTCATCCATGTCGACGTATGAGCTATTTGACACCATGAACAGATGGAGGATGTATTTATAACTGAAGACAACATGAACACGAGCTTTAGATAATAAGATAAACATCGGCCATACTGCATCAGTATGATGAATGCTTCAGTACAGCAGCAAGAAAGAGAGAAGCAATGAGGATTTCACT